GTTTTTGATGGCTTCCTTAAGCTTTATCCTATCTGCTAAAAGTAGATCCGGCTGTATACTCAGTCCGTAATCCTTCAGTTTAAAGACGAAGCGCAAAAGAGCTTGGCGCTCCTCCGGTGTAGACAGGACCACGCGTAATAGGCTGGGTCTACATTTAGTACTATCATACGATTAATGATCGTTGCTTCCATCTTGTTTCGGGATTTACAACTATACGGACCTACTGTATGGTTCCCCGAAGTTTTATTGGTAATGAAGCACACGAAAATTGGATGTACTTCGGAGGAAGAGTTCGCTTATTTGCTTTACGTGACAGAAACAGAGACGACACAAATGAGAAGCGTAACCATGATTTAATCAAGCACGAATGTCGATGCAAGCCGTAATAACACACGTAATGTTGAGGGAACCAAGCTAGCTATCTAACTGAGGGTTCACCGTATTGGCTTAGTAGAGTGAAGAATACAGGAAGAAAGTTTACTGCCGCAAACCGGTGACCAAAACAAATGAACTTTCTTTGAAGGAAGTGTATAGGGAAAACGAAACCACCGAGGACTAGTGCAGCGCTTAGTGGTTGCAGTAGTGCATTCTGCAGCTTTATTTGTTCATACATAACACCACTTGTTATACACCAAGTCGTACCGAACTGAAGATGCATACGTGCTTAGCTGCATACTATGGTGTAGGTAGCTACGGCGGTAATCGATAGTGCTTGTGTTATACTTTGTAGTTTTGTAGGGACGGACGCATGTGCAATAGGTTGGGTGAGGATGCGAACAGATAGCAAAATTTGCTTCCCGGCTGATTTTGCACATCTGTCTACACCATTATTGGTTATTGGGTTTCAGTTTGTCTTAACGTACCTGAGACCGTTCGTTTGGCTTGGAAACACGGGTGTCCCAATCATGCCCAAGTACACAACATAGGTCACATGCATCACAGTTGTTCCTCGTCTCCACTACTCATGTCCAAAGGTAAATCGCTCGTGCTTGCATTCATAATGTGAAATAGCATGAACATGCCTTGAAGAGTTGCTGTTGTCTGGAGAACACCATCCCCACAAGACCACTGAACCCTAGTGCTTGCCACAATGACGACGCATCTGCTATCGGGTTTCGGGGAAGGTGGTTTCTGAAGAGTAATTCCCGGTTGGACATCGATTTACGTTTGCGCACTTAGTTTGCAACACATATTGATCAGGTTCCAACAAGTTGTCCTCCAATAACGCTTGATCGTGCACTCAAGCGGGAATGGGATTAATCAACAATAGCGTTAACCACAGCAAGTATGTTGACCTGAATGAACTCGTCCCCCCATACCAGGTGAGAGGCTAAGCGGAGCAGCAAATTCATCACGAGCACAGCCAACGAGAACGAAGCACATTTATCAAGCAGGTGGCAGTAGGTTGTAGACCAGCGGTTCTTTACCTATTTGTGGCTGTTACCCACAAATCCGGTTTACTAGAATCAATTACCCCACCAAACAACTTTCCGTTTCTAAAGCTAATTAGTGAATGAATATCGCGCTTTTTGTTTTAATTACTAGAAATGATTGCCATTTCCCATTGCTCACGATCCTTCAAAGAAAGATAACAGCTAATTTTGTGCCACTTTTATGAAATAAATAAGCGATATACGTCAATCAGACAGTTACTATTGCTTAGTTCTAATAATTTCTGGTATAGTTGGTACAATTTTGGCTAATGCATATCTTAAGTCGTGCTCCCAATTCATTCGATTCCTTGTATCTGTTTTCATTTTCACTACTGTCGAATATTCACTTCACACATACAAGTTGTTGCGAATGGGATCAATATACCCAATGCTCTTTCCGATAGCAATGGATACTCTTCCCCTGTTTTGTGTTCAAAACGCTACCAGTTGTGTGTTTAGGAACTCTCGTTTCAATCCGTTCTCTTCGCGAATTCATATAACTTGTGTTTGGTTTCGATTTCATTACCTTGAGCTATTCTTTCATCCACTGAAAAAGATCTTAGTACGCAGGTATTTACTTGGCGATTTTCAAAATCAGGAAACTATTTGCTGATAGAATGTACCATTGGTTCTAAGTGGGGTATTAGTTGATCTATTAATGTACATTTACCATTTCTTCCAATGAGCATAACAAAGCGCCGCCAACACCAGGTATTCGTTAGTAAAGTAGCCATTTGGGGAGAACACTGACAACGCTATCATGAGTAGTTAAAATATTCGTCATATTTGCTTGTAAGTTCAGGTTCAGTGCATTTATTTCTCCTAGGAAATTCGCATTATATGCCAGTTTAGAAATAAACTCATTGCCTGTTAGTACTCCGTGTAACCCTTTTACCTTACCTACAAGAAATATAGCTATTTCTTCTCGAAGCTCGAGCATTCGGTTCAACAACTTGCCTCGGGATAACCTTCTGTGTGCACTTCTGTGTGCAATAATCTCACGTCGAATCTGCCCTCAAATTCATTACACAACTCTGAAAACTCCTGTATTTTTCGCACTACGGCGGAGGGCATTACTATTTTCAATACCTTCGTTAACCGGTCCAGAAAAGCAAATAGAAGACCTTTCACTGCTAAAGTAAAGGGGTGTAGGATGCAGTGCTAAAGATATTTTGGGGAGCAACTGGTTTGACTACTGTCTGGAATCCGGAACGAACACCCAACATGATTAGTGCTCCGTCTGTACAGACACCCACCAAGTTTGACTACTGTAGCTCCATTTCCTGGACGAAATTCTGTCCTGTTTGTAAGACGTCTTCGCCACGCGCAGTTTTGCTCAATGATTCTGAGTACAAGTGCTCTTTTTTGATGCCAACTCCTTTTATATGCCGAATATAGAAAGTAGCTGGGAACAAGGTGCGACGTCGGTCGACTCATCTTACCGTAGTGCGAACAAAGCACTTGACTTTATTTCACTGAGCACCGTGTCCAAAATATCTTCGCTCATGTTCTAGACGCGACTTTTGATGGTGCTCTTAAAAAGTGATAGATTACTTAACTTTTCCGCATGTTGCTCTGCAAGAATGAGCTTAACCGCATCTATAATGTAAGGTTTGGTGTGATCCTGTCCTATGGTATGCGGCTTCGTGTTGTCGGTGATTCGAAGAGCGATGCGGTACGAAGCTATATGACCAGCTTCAGTTGACTGAAAAAAAGAAGCTCGATGTACCTAAGCACACACGTTTCAGCGCAACTTCTTTACGTTTGAAGAATGTAATATGGTTTTATACGAATTGAGAATGACTGCGTCAAACCGTTTTTTATTTGCTGAGTTTCATGCTCTCCGCCGCGAGCAATTGCTACCCAAAACACTGCGGCTTCCCAACATATCATCTACAAAATTAGTGAAGTTTCAATACAGAAAAGCTTCTCTGTAAGACCGCTTTATTCCAGTGGACATGGTTCCTTCGAAAAATTATACAGCTAGGTGTTATATATGTATATTTGACACCTAACAGATAAACTCCTTATTATGGCTATTACAAACCATCGAATTAATGAAATCATCGGCAATGGCTTCTCGTCAAAAGCATCTGTACACGAATGTGATCAACCCAACATCTACTAATTACTCACGTCCAATATCCTCTACCAGCCTTGGTTGTGTAACCCCAAACCCAATGTTTTTGTGAACATCGAGAAGCTTACTGTTATCCCGATTCAAAACATCTTATGGTCCTTTCGCATGTGATTCCGGATCACCCACGGGCAGATGTCAGTAGCTTCTCATGTGTTTCCTTCCTTCATTCCTAGTCGTCGCTGAAGGACAGCTGCCCGCTGCCACTCTGTGAATACTGATCGCCCGTTTTGATCATTCTAATTTGTAAACATTCACACGCTACTTTACTTGGTCGGTTGACCTATACTCCAATATTAGTGTTCATTCAACTCTGTAATTTGACCCGGCGAACGGTGGCCTGAATCAAAAGAACAAGGATAGACGCGGCAAACGATAGGAGCGTCAACTAATCGCAGTGACTAATGACTAGTCAACGATCGCTAATCAGTAGTACACGGGTATTTAGTTACATATATTAGTAGAGATTATTTTTTATTAATCTTGTTTTGCAACTAACTGAGGAGCCAATCTTTTTATTAATATTTACCCCCGTACAATCTCAGTTTACCTTTCTAGAGGTAATTCCCCACAGGTTAAGAACTCCCGCTGTAGAGAGAACCCCGGGGTTCCCGTCTAGTTTAACCGTCTACCAACAGCGCCGATCTCCTTTAACCCCGTGCATTTACTTTTGGTTCACCCCTTCGCTGGTTGATGACCCATGGGTATTAAAGGAGAAGACACGACCAATGAAGAAGCGAATTCACAACGCCAATTCAAGTCCATGTGGCTGGTGGCGTAAGCGATGCAGAAGAAAACCATGGGATGTGATGCATTAACATTGTCTTGTCGCTATACTGGTGGGAGCTGCGAGGCAATAAGAAAGGGCTGGTGTGTATTACCGCAAGTTAGTTCACATGACATCTGGAACGAAATATACCATCGGTGAATGGGAATTCAATCGGTAACTGCGATCACATTTGGAATAACTTGGTGCTAGTTAGATGTCAAGGGAAACAATGCAGATCGCTCTGATAGTAAGAATGACCTAAGCACAATCTATTTTGTTCACCTAAAGCGAAAGAGATCCGTGTATGCAGCGACAGCTTCAGCTCTGGATGTGCAACAAAGCACAAAGGTGGGCTAGCAGCCATTAACTACCTTCGGGTGCGACGATTAGTAAGTCGGCAGAAATTGTGTCTATGGAGATTCGTATTGCGGCACAAATTAGGGTTACCTAGTGCATAGAAGCAGACGTTTTAAATTGCGATGCAGAATAGCCTAAGATTTGTTGTGCTGGCCTAGCTCGCTAACGTGTATTTATTGATTAGCGGATGGTGTTGTCCAACTGTTGGTGAAGTGCCTTGTTGAAGAATCGTAAAACAAGGAATGTCTTAACTCTCCTCTTATCATATCCGGTCATCAGATTTTTACCTTTGTTTTTCTGAAAGATCTACAGACCGACAGGACAAACCTGCTGATGTCAAAAGTCTCGCTGATGCACAGGTACTGTATGTACGACCAGTAAACACCAAACTTCACGGTGGTCTTTGGTTCTGTCGAGCAGTGCGCCATTCTACAGTGAAAAACGAAAGAAAGCTTGCGTATTACGTGGACATCGCCAGACCACCGCAGTTTTTGTTCCCTCCATCGCGTGAAGTGCGTTTCGTGTCCAAACACAAACCGATACAGCAACTGCACTGCGGGGAAATTGATCGGGGTGAACCAGCCGCCCGGTTAACGTGGTATCGGTGTCGGAGATCGCGAGAATGTCAACGGATCAGGTCACTGACCAACGCGAACGAACGTATAGTGAAAGTAACTCTTCCGGCCCCGGGAGAACGATACTTCTGCCGAGTGGAAAACATGTGGGGTCGTATCGAAAGGACCTTTGAATTTGTGGCTGCATAACCACACATGAGACACGCGCATCTCAAGTCATAGTTCACTGCATACATCTCCGTTATCCAAGTTGACGAATAATTGTGCAATTTGTCTCCAGTATGCGTTCATTTTTGACTTTATTCAGTTTGAAGATGTAAACATTGTCACTGTTATCCTTTTATTTTAATTAGTCGACCTGAATTTATCTTACTATTCATGGTACACGTATGATCACGAAGTAATCAGAACATTTGAAGGATTTCATGGTTGTTTCAGGCCCTGCTTCTCCATCCAGTCGGTCAAGAATACTGTACTTTCATTTTATAGTCACATTATCAAGTACCAACTACCGGACTTGTTGCGCAACGCGCCCAAATACAGGCACTTATATATTTATACAGATATGCTACGTGCAAGTGTTCTACAAAGTTACATAATACTTACAGAATTTTCCTGCAGAGCTTGGAGTGGCTAGTGGTAGCTAGAAAGATGCCGTACTCTCTCTGACCTGAGCGACAAAACGATAACACCTCCCCGCAAGTGCATTTGAAGGTAACAAAGTAACTGGTTTAGCTTGTACTACGAAAAGCTACCAATTGTTATACCGTTGTTTACGGTACAATAAATGTTTTTGGCTTGCGAGTTCGCAGCGACTTGGGAATGATGATACTTATAGCGATTGTTTAACCCATCAAGGAGCAGAACTATCATCTCAGCCGCTTCCAACGTAACTGACTCCAACAATCTACTTCTAACCTTTAATGTTCTTGGAATTCTTTAATCAATGGTAATGTCAACTCACTGAAGCACTGATGGCAAGTATATCTCCTAGTGGGAAAGTCCGGAGGGATTGAGCATTGTACAGTGGAAAGCAAAGGGCGTCACAGTCCAGGACAGGAGCAGTGACGAGCTGGAATAGAGAATATATAGTTGCATTTAATAAACATAGGTATCAATAAAGGGAATGAATTCGTTTGGAGGCAGTTTTCTTAACATAACTGCGGTGTCAAGAGATGCTCGCTGACCTACAGATCAGGGCGTTTGTTGCTAACCACGATGCATCTTGTTCACTGCCTACCTGGAAAGTCCGAACCACGACGAAACCCATCGTGGAGTGTAAAGTCGGAAGAGAACAGCACTTAAACTGTCCACTTCGGACTCACGTGCAGTGCTTGCGGAATGGTAGGGGTTTACTTCCAACTCAACTGTGGCCTCAATTGAGTTTGCGTGTCGCAATCCAGACACACACGGCGGGTACTTCAAACCTACTTATCTGTTACTTCTAGCTGATGACGGTTAGTTGGATGTGACGGATAGGAGGGAAAGGAAAAGAATGTTGCTTTATTACTGACAGTTAGAAAGAAATGTACGACAACCATTAAATAATGTCCCTGCCTCTTACCCTCACCTGATCTTACTTCCACCCATCATCGTACTCTGTGTATGCCGATCACCCTGGAAGCAGGGCAATAAAGTCCTAACCGTCGTAACAACAATGAAGGTCGAGCTGTGGGCTAAAATGGTGCAGAAGCATACCTGCATGCTTTAAATCTCAGAATTCCAGCTCTAACTATTTCCATCGAAAAAGATTACAATGGATGAAGCCGGTTGTGAGGTGGCACACTTAAAGCGAGTAACACAAAATGTGCACATAGTCTGTTATTTTTTTCGTGAACAGTCCACATTAGCTCCAAAGTGTAGGAACATTCCTTGGCGGCAAATCTAATCAACATGAGCTAACACACTTTAGCAAACCGTCCACCAACAAACGAAAAACTCGCTGTTCAGCAGATGCAGTGGGATGAATACTTCACTCGGTCCGTTAGCCATTCACTTAATCACTCTCTGAAGGATCCGTCCCGAACGACTGGAAATGCTCGATAGTGAGACCGCTTCCTAAGGGTGGTGGTCTGACAAAAGTAGAGAACCATAGACCGATCTGTTTGACTTCGATCTTATCCAGAGTCCTCGAGAAGGTTGTGAAAAGGGGTCTGTCATGGTTCTTCGAATCGATGGACGTACTGACGTCAGCACAACACGACTTAACGAAAGCGCGAACTTGCATCACCAACTTGATGTACGCAAACCACCAGTAGGTATGAGCTCTCAACGTGGTGTATATCGACTTCAGTAAGACGTTTGACAGAATGAACCCCAAGGGACCTTCGTAAACTGAGGACCTACGGAATCGGTGGCACGCTACTTCAGTGGTTACACGTGTTTAATGTGGGGCAAAAGTTTAGAGTACAGGTCAATGACTACCTGACAGACTGGTTCCCATCGACCAATTGCGTGCCTCAAGGAACTATACTTGGGCCAGTATTGTTTCTTATTCATATCAACGATCTCCCGCAGCAGCTCCAATCACCATGTGCCTGGTTTGCAGATGAGTTGAAAACTTGGAAGATCATTGAGAACCAGGACGACTGCGCTGGCCTCCAGCATGACTTAGATCGACTGTCAACCTGATCCACTGAATGAAACTCCCTCTCAGCGTAAGCAACTCGGAGTTTATAAGTAGCACCAGACGTCCAGCCACTCGACCATACAACTTAGATGGCCAGCTGCTCTACCCTAATACATCTGTCAGATTTAGGAGTGCTATCGCGACATGATATGAGATCAATAGAAAATACAGAAAAACTGTACCGTGCGGGACTTCGTATGCTCTGGACATTGCGACGCAGTGTTTCCACATGGTCGGAAGAAACCATCCCTCGTCTACTCACTTCGCTCATTAGACTAATCCTTGAGTACAGTGCCCAGCTTACCTTCTGATGACGCAGCGGAAAACTGAAAAGCTGGAGAAAATACCGCACACCGAAACTAGAGTGGTACCCAGTCTACGGAAGCTTCCGTATGAAAACGTTGTGAAAGGCTCGGATTCTACACACTAGCCTACCGCCGAGTAAGGATTGACCTCATTATGACCCATCGAGTACTACACTTGGATCACTTCCCCATACTGCGGCCAATATTTCATCCGCGAGAACTCTGTAACGCCCGAGGATATCGTTACAAACTCAGGGTACTCTGCATGAACAAGGTCTCACATCAGACTTGTATAGAATGAAGAATCGGAAACTTATGGAATACAATATCAGAAGGACTGATAGAGGCCAATTCTGTGAACTGTTTTAAAACATGCATCGATGATTATTTCGGAAACCTGTGCTTTTGTGAAACGGTGCACATACAATGAAAAAATACACCCTATACCCAAAAATAATGACGCCAAACAATGACGCTGCACAAGGATAGACGAGTAACTGAGCGAGCACTACCGCTGACGATTCGCAATTAAACGCTTTTGATTTTGCATAATTCGATGGAATTGCACAAAAACCCTTCTACTTGCGCTTAAATACAGTCTCAGTCTCATTCGTAGCCAATTCGATAAAATTAGGTGACGGCCACCTACGAAAAATAGGGTATCTGGTAGCCGTTACATCGGTGGAGGTTTGTAATTGCGACACTCTCGTAACGACCCTGGATATGGTCAGTGGGACTTACACACAGTAACAGTGGTAACATCTATGGTGATGCCTGAAAGTGCTCGTCCCTCGCCTGATTTGACGATTGGTTAATGATGATCGGAACTTGTGGTCACTGGCTCCCAATAGGGAAGAGAAAAGACCGGTTTTGGACGAACAGAGGAAGTTGGCTGAATTGGCTGATCACACCGTCCAATAGAAAGGTTAAATGAATCATGCATGAACGGGCTGGCTAACCGAACAATCTCCTGGTGGTGCCTGCTTGGTGGTTCGGGTTTAGTGCGTTTCAGCAAATAGTTCGGCGGCAGTGTTCCAGAACGTGGTGGGGTTTTGCATGGCAAGCGTTTTCCCCATTAAAAGCCACAAAATCTCTGCTTAAAAACACTGTGACGTGGCAGTCGTGACTTGCCACAAAATATAGTCACTGCCCCGTGGATATCCGGATAATCCTATCAAACCCACGGACATCAATGTTCTACTCGCACATTGCCAAAGATAGCAAACATTCAAGAGTGGAGCAGCACAATTACAAACACAAACTACGCAGGTACATGGTTGGCGGCATCCGGTTTCGGATTTGCCTGTCACTGTGGCAAGCCACAGGACGCCTGCGCCTACAGAGGGACCATGGATGGCTTGCGCTGCACCACCCACAGCTCCAACCACACACCCCATGTCCAGTGTAAACACGAAGGAATAAGAGCGGGAGGCATGTGGATGGGAGCCACGTTTCATCAACGGAGTCGGCTCACACTCCTTCACAGACAAACACAAGCCCGCTGTATTTGGGGAATCAAGAGTACACAATGCGGTGGCTGAACCGTAGTCCGCTCCACACTGAGTGCATGAAACCGCTGTTCGAGCCTATCACGGCCACAAGTACTGTGCACCCCGTCCCCTCCAGCAACGACCAACTGTCTCCTGGAGCCAGATGGACGAGGTAGTGGGTAATAGACAGGTAGGCACCTTGTCATCATGCACATCAAGCGCAGCCACACCTGGGATGTCAAACAACAGCCAATCATTCGAAATGCCGATATCGAATAAGGCAAACCCATATGAAGACATAAATATTCGCTAAATGAGCATACAGAAGAAGTTGGTTAAATGTTAATACGCAATAACTACAAAATGTCCGAAAATTATCTAAAAAATACCACGCGATACAATTACGCAAACTCACCACAATTTGCATGAGCGACGTGTGTAAGTTGGGAGAAGATTATCAAGTGTGCAGAACAAACCAAATAAAATGTAATGAATTTTATCCACCTTAAAAAGACCTAGTTCAAGTGTAAGTCGGTTTAGCCCAACTGCGGTGAAGAAGCATCATGAATGCGACATCAGCCTCAGCATGGGACGCAACACACAGCTACATACACACACAAATACATACGCATATTTGGTTGGCAGCATCCGGTTTCCGATTTGCCTGTCACTGTGGCAAGCCACAGGACGCCTGCGCCTACAGAGGGACCATGGATGGCTTGCGCTGCACCACCCACAGCTCCAACCACACACCCCATATCCAGTGTAAACCCTAAGGAATAAGACCGGGAGGCATGAGGATAGGAACCACGTTTCATCAACGGAGCCGGCCCACACTCCTTCACAGGCAAACACAAGCACGCTGTATTTGGGGAGTCAAGTGCGCATAATGCGGTGGCTGGACCGTAGTCCGCTCCACACTGACTGCATTGAACCACTCTTTGATCCTTACACGGCCACAAG